GGGGTCGATGCCCTGGACTTTCTGGGCGCCGTCGACTCGTAGTAGCCGCCAAAGAGGGAGGGCTTGCTGGAGGCCGTCGACTTGCGGCTGCGGCTGTGGGCGACGGTGTTGGGCGTGTTGAGCGTGTATGGCGAGCGACGGACCGGCCGTGTTTGCACGACACGGCTGCCACCCTTGAGGTAGTCGCCCCAGGTGGGATCGTCGGCGCGTGCGACGCGGGGATCGCTTGCCAGACCGGCCGTGGCCGACTGCCGTCGCGGTGTGCGTGGGGGCGGGCGATGGACGTCGAAAATGGGCGAGCGGATGGGCTCGGTGCGGTGGCGGGACAGGGCGAGGGCGCTCTTGCGCCGGCGGGGTGTGGGTAGCTGCGGAGCGACGACACGTATAGGTGTCAACGGGCGACGACTGCCATGACTGTGATGACTGCGATGACTGCGGCGACTGCTGATGCTGCTGCCATCACCCATGATAATCTTCGGAGGAACACGGCTCGATGGCCCCGAGCGGTATGACCGGCTTGATGTGGCTACCGATGATGACGAGGGTGCTGCTGCTGCTGCTGCTTCGACGGCCATGGCAGCGGCCGAGGCCTCAGCTTTCCGAGCGGCCAAAGCGGCCCGTAGTTGCCGCCGACGCTCCCGCGACCCACTCTCGGTGCGCACATAACTTCCCGTGGGACTCAGAGGGCGGCCACGGTACGGCCCATCCACGAAAGGGGAGCCCACGGCTGGCGCACTGTATAGGAGTGTCGAGCGGGGCACTTGAATGATGCGAGGTGGCTCTCTCTTGCGAGGCTTGATGCGGACGGCCCTTGGCGTCCTTGCCAGGCGCGGTGTCCTGGGCGTCTTGGGCGTTTTGGGCGTCCTTGGTGTGCGTGAGAAGGCCCACGGCGACCTCGGCGTCCGGTCGGCCCGACGCACTCGGTGTTTCGACCGACTGGTACTAGGCGATAGGGCATCGTATGCCGGGTACGGCACATAAGGTGAGTACCCGACCTGGTACGGCGGAAAGTCAGTCTGGATCGGCTGGAGCACCGGCATCGGCTGCGGCCGCGCCCATGTGCGACGGAGGGCAATCGGCTGCTCAGGAACCGTCACAACGGCGGGCACGCTGTAGCTGCTGGTGTCGTTGCTGCCGACCTGGCTGCTCCCATCACTGGAACTGAAAATGCTGCGTCCACTGCCTGCAATTGAGGCCGCCGGCTCGCAGGTGACGACATCGACAGAGACGTTTGGCTTTGGCGTCGACCGGCTGGACGAGGTAGTCGATGTACTACCAGATGCAGAGGCCGTAGCAGACGAGCTGGCGGGAGACGCCGGCGGACGAGGAAACACGGGGCTGGGTGGCGGCGAGGGCTCCCTTGGGTGTGGCAGTGACGAGCTGGACGACGACGATGACGATGACGCTGCTGCCGCCGAAGCCACAGAAACGGACGAGACGTTGGAGGAAAAGTCAAGCGGAATACTGTGCCGCGACGTGGTCGAGGACGCCGACGGCGTCGGCGACAGGCTTCGTCTTGGGCGGTAGGAGGTCGTGTCTTCAAATGAGCTGCCCCGGCGACTCCCACTGCTGGAGGTGGTGCTGCTGGCACTGCTGCTGCTGGCACTGCTGCGACTGTGGCCACCGCTCTCCGTGTCGCTTCCGCCGACACAGCTCTCGGTGCTGCCACAGGCAGTGTCGGCTGGGTAGTCGACTGTCACGACGGCCGCCGGGACTGGTGGCGACGGAGCAGGAACCGGCAGTGGGAGGTAGCGTCGTGGAGAGCGCGCTCGAGGCCTGGATGAGAAGGTCGATGCGGTCGATGTGGTCGATGATCCACTGCCCGAAAAGTAAAGCTTTCTCTCGTCGACGCAGTCTTCCACGACATAGACGCAGACCGGCAGTGGCTTCTTGGCCTTGACCTTGCTCGAGCCGTCGCGGCGCCGCTCCATGTGCGACGGCCAATTCTCGTCGCCGTGGCGGCTGGAGATCCACCAAGGCATTGTGGCAGGTGAGCAGTGAAAAAGGATGAAAGGGAGTGTCGGTCAATGATACAATGATATGGCGTGGCCTGATGCAGTCTCGGAAGAGGCTGTGTCACGACGTGTTTACTTGATACACAAAAACGACAACAAAATAAAAAAAACAAAGGGGACAGCAAAGGTGACACAGCTTTCTTATGTATTATTGCAAGACGATCTGATCCAGACACAGGATACACGCCAGCAAGCGGAGTTGAAACACAGGGTCATCGAAAGGCCGTCGTCTGCCACGCCCAACCGCCGTCTCTCCGTGCATCTCGACATTTCTCTTTGTCTTCTCCTCTTCGCCTCCCGCGCGAGCAAGGTCACACACAAAGAAGGGCCTCTCCCTGCGGCCCCATCGCATCCAAAAATATACTTGCGTGGGAGCATAAGAATGGAAACAGAAGCGCGTAAGTCGAGCTTCTGAGGAGATCTCCCTTTTTTTCCCTGAAGACGATACTCTGCCCATCTTCCTTCGCTGATTATTTTCCCTTGTTTTGGGAACCGTTCCACTTGCCCACACGAATCTCTCGTCCAATGCTTTGTATTTGGTGGGATGGTTTCGAAATAGGATGGGCCGCGAAGACGGGGACCAGCGCACCAGCAGGCCAGAAAGAGACCTCACTTCAAGGCGTAGCAAGAAGGAGGAAAAGAAAAGAAAACCAATGCAGGGAGTCGACGGGAGAAAGAAGGCCAGGACACTAAAAAAAGGGCCACCTCCAGAAGGGACACCTTTGTTTCATGGCCGCAAGAAGGGGGCCACGTTCATTTTAAATAGCCATGGACCGATGGGATGTGCATCAAAGAGAATACGGCGGGAATGGAACAAAGAAAATATATAGCCCATACAGGGAGACTGGCCGTGTTTGCGGGCCGCCCTTGGGCCCTTTCGATGCGCGCAGGGGTTTTGTTGGCGGTTCTCGGCGTCTCTTTTTGCTTCTTATTCCCAAATGGTCTTCGGAGGCATGACCCTGGATTGATTGGATCGGTGCGCTATGTAGGACAAGTCGTACAAAAAATAAACGGCAGAAGATCAGTTAGCCGCCGTGTTTCTGTGAGCATGGAAAAGTGTCGAGATGGAGCAGGATTAGCCGCCTGGCTGTTACAGGGGCTTCCATATCCACTGTACGTCCGGATAGGGAATTAGGGAAGCCTGCGTCAAACACAGCCGCGCATGTCTTTGGTGCGCTGCTCATTGCACACATCCTCCCACTTCCATATTCTCACCATACTTACATTCTTAAATTGTTAAAAAAAATAACCACGGGCATCAATACTATCGATGCATCACCGCTGCACGCATTTGGCTTTGTAGGAAACCCGTTTATTGCTACCCAGAAGTCTGGCTACAGCGTTAATGACAGAGGCTCCAGAGAAGAAAAGTGAGCCATGTCAACCATGCTTTCTTGGACCAGACGAATGTATCCTCTGCCAATGTCCGCCAAAGACAGCGTCTCGTGCTGTCGTGCTTCCCATTTTGGTACCCCATCGATAGTCCCACGAGTCATTCCTCCGATCTGGCGTCGTCTCGACGCCCCCTCGCTCCTTGTTGCCGTGGGGTGGAGGCAAGCGAGACGATGGATGCTATCGTCGTGTGCCGGTCAGTCACCAGCATTGTCGTCTGCCGGCTCCACCGTCTAGTACTTCTTGCCGCCGCTCGACTGGCCGCTGCTGCCGCTGCTGCCGCTGCTGCCGTATCCCGACGAGTACGACTGGCCGCTGGGCGCCGTGTAGGTCGAGCCGCCGTTGCCGTTGTTGTAGTACGTGCTGCTGTCCGGGTTGGCATAGTAGTACGAGCCGTCGGTGTTGGAGTAGTGGTACGAGTTGGAGTTGTTGCCGTAGTCGCGGCTGCAGTAGTGGTTGCCCTGAGTTTGTCAACCGAGTCAGTAGAGAACCAAGACAAAGGGGGGGGGGGGGATGCCCGACGTATGTGCAGCCACATTACTCCTGCAGTGCGCGTGACCTACCTGGTCGTTGGTGCCGGAGCCTTTAATTGAGTAGTCCTTGCCCATGTTGACGGGTGGTGATGGGCGATTTTGGGGTGTTGGTTTATTGAAGTGGTTTGGCAGACTGAGTTGATGGATTGCAACAATTGGAGAATGGAAGATGGAAATGATATGAAATGGGATGAAGAGAAAGAGAGGAGATGACATTGGCCGAGAAATGATGTGGCGTTGGGCAAGTTATATACTTTCTTTGGGCCCAAGGAGCTTCTGGCTTGGGTCACAGTCAGGCTCCTAATCAAGACTAGGTCAAGTTGGATTGCTCCTGTTTACTACAAATTGCAGACACAATACGACTACCGCGATATGCTTGCCCAAAACGCGACATCATGGCTATCCCAGATCAGCATGAATAGCTAGGCTTGCATTGGGTTTGATGAGGTGTATCTCGATGAGGGTGGAGCATTTACTTATCGTATGTGACACAATAGTCAACCGGCATTGAGAATGGCTATTCAGGGACACTAGGGCCAAACATGAATGGGCTCAGAAGCAATGGTAAACGATATATGACTACTCTCTCAGCGTGTCGTCATCTTCTAGACCAAAGCCCTATTACTTGAATCACAAGAAGCAAAGACACCAAGCAGACAACACGAAGAAGGTCAAAAACACGCAAACAAGTGAGAGCACTTGAAAACAAAATGGGCAAAGTAATAAAGGCAAAACCAATAAATGCCAAATAACACACATTAAAACTGTTGCAGCTATGCTAGAATATAAAAACACAGATAAAACAGGGAATCTGGGAATATCATGGAATGGGTCAGGCATCTTCTGAGGTTGGTAGCTGCCTGTGAAACGGTGAAATGCTAGAAAACGCAAGGGGAATTATAACAACAAAATAAATGCAGAAATCCTCTCGTGAATGCGTGAATGCGTGAATGCATAATGTGTAAAGTGTCCGTGATGAATGAACCCCCCACCCCTTTTGTTGGCCTAGTATGGCTCGTTCGGTTTCCCCTTTTGTCGCCCGCCTCACTTCTTGGCCATTCTACTTATTTTTGTCGCCGTCTTCACGCAAAACGCTGCTCTTTCGTCGACTGCGGTTTGGAACATCGGTGCCTCCACCAGAGGGATCATACTCCTGCGGCTGGAAGTCCGGATTGTCAAAGTGCGCCGTGCTGACGCGGGAGTTGCGGAACAGGCTCGAGTTTGGGTCTGTCGCATCGTGCGGTAGGCGGTTGAAGTGCCACTTAGTGAAGCGTACCGGTGTGGACGTAGGTTCCGGAAGAAATACGGATGCGGCGTTCCCTGCTCGTCCTGCACCGCCGCCACCGCCGCCTCCGTTGCTGCCAGTGGCTCTGCCAATGTCGCCGCCGCATGCTCCACTATATCCCATCTGCGTTGACGGTACCGGCGTCGGGGCGTCCATGAGAGGTACCGGTGTCCCGGCCACACTAAACGCCGGGTCCGAGTAGGAGTCCGACAGACCGGAAGAAATGGCTGACATGGGCGTGCCCGGGATCACAGATGCTGCGGGGGACGCGGGCATGGCAGGGCCCGCCATGGCCGATTTCGGAAGATCAGCTAATCCGCTCGTCGGCGGCACGGATGTCTCTGACGGGGAGGCTGGGAAAGGCGGAACGCCCTTTGCCAGTCCCGATCGAGATGGTCCGGGCGCACCCCACGACGACCTTTGGCCCATACCAAAAGGCGACGACGCCGGTTGTGCCGAAACTGTGTTGAATAGTCCAGGGAGCCGAGACAGGATCTGGAAATCGGCACCCTGGTAGTTGCCAAAGCTACCTGCGCTTTGTACAGCGCTTCCATAGGATACATGTGCTACATGGTGAATTTCGACGTCATTTGGGGATTGCCTGGCCGTGGGTGGTGCCGGTGCGGACGGAGGATCGGCGTCACTGCGCGCAGAGGGTGTAGGGGCGGTCGGAGTTATCGCTGACGAGCTATCGGTCGGGGCCCCGAGATCACGCCGCATTGTCGTCTGCTGCGAAGCCGAGGGCGGAGGGACAGGGGATGCATACGCCGGAGTTATCGGCTCCTCTTTCACAGGGAATGTGGCGGGCGAGTTCGTCGATGAGCCGGGGGTCAGATCAGGTGTGTCCTCGCGAATCGACGGCGTTCCAGACGGCTGGGCAATGCGCTCATAGTATCTTGGAGCCACCGGGTACGTTTGTGCCACAATCTCGGCCGCCAAAGAATCCGACGGCAAATATGGCTCAACCAACGGGTTCGACGGGTCTGATGCTACTGGTTGTCCCACTGTAGCTACGCTTGGGGCCGTGTCAGGAGCGGGTGCCAAGGCAGCCATGGCAGCGTCAGCAGGGAGGAAACGGAGGAGCACCGATTCGGCGACGGTCTTGGATGGCAGTGACGGGCGGTACAGAATGTCGTAGTGGTCTGGGCGGAAGAGCAGCGACATGCGCATTGCGATGGTGTCCTCTGCACGTCCAATGTTCGTGTCGGGAAACTTATACACAGATACGGTGCTACCATTGCTGCGGTCGAGGTACGCAATCTCCAGGACAATGTCGCCGGGCTTCAGCAGAATGCTAGCCAGGACCTCTACCCGCAGGTGGTCGATTTCACAGTTGGGGCGTTCAATCCACTCCTGGCAGTAACCAATGACACCGCCATCGTGGGCAATAAACCCTTCATACACGCCCACATTGCCCTTTAGGTAAGAGGCCGTGAGGAGACGGAGATGGTAGATAATCGCATTGCCCGCACCGTCGTCGTTGAATGCATCTGTCAGGATGCGTATCGCCTGTTCCGTGTCCGGCAGCGCTTTCAGAATACCATCGAAGAGAATATCCGTCTCTTCAACCATGTCTTCGTAGACATACGGATCGTAGCCTCCCACATCGCGGATATAGTCATTGAGCTCGAGAAGGCGCTTTTTCTCGTCGCTGATAAGTTGAGTGTTGCCGTTGTAGATTAGGGCCTCGAAATAGCAGAAACCAATGGCTGCATAATTGTGTTAGAGTTTAGATTAAAAAATAGAAAAAAATAAAAAGGAGGTATGGCACTGGCCATAATATGGGTTATGGACGACAAAAAGTCAAATTTAAAGGGGTCTGATCATGCACTCTTGCTTCCCTTGTGACATCTCACGCCAAGATATCCCGCTCGTCCGCTGTCATTTTGCCGTGCATGCCGAATATCGCACACTCGGCTCGAGTTTGGGGAACGAGAGAAGAGTGAAACGGGGCGGAAGGGATCGAGCGTTCTAGGCTTTTGGCCCCAAATGGCATCCTCGGAGTATGACTAGTCTCCCTAGAGCCAGTTGTTGGTGCACGCATTGGTTGTCTGGTGGTGTCGGCGCCAGCAGAAATCTGCACGCAGCCACCTAGTTGAGAGAGAGCAAGTAACAACACAGGGGGGGAAATACTCGGGAGACAACACAAAAACAGAAAGAAAGAAAAGAAAAGCAGAGGCCCACATATTGCATTCAAGACAACGAGCAATATGCAGAATGGCAGGTGGCAGCTGCGTTGCGGGGTCATGCATGGACGGGAGGGAAGAATGAGAACAAATGCAACGGGCGAGGGCGAGGATTGCGTAAAAAGAGAGGAGAAATGCAGACGCATTGGGCCATAGCATGTACCATGGCGATCGGTGTGAGTTGGCCACGGATAGAGCCAGAACACACAATTAATCTGTCTGGGGAAGGGAACGGGGGGAGCGGGGAGATAAAAAAACAAAGCGTCTTACCTCGCCATCCACAATTGCCGTCACCACGAACAGCTCGATAGAGGGGGTATGCTCGGGGCAGATTCTGCAAAATATTGGTATTAGATGAAGTCCTGCCTCATATAAAGAGACCTTTATCGCTTTGCGAGTGACAGTATGGAGGTTGAAACGGGCAGGGTATAGATGCATCGCCGCTGTGAACATACGACTGTCTTTTGCACGAAAATGTGGTCGGCACTGGCATAGTGGTCCTTGATCTCTTCTGTTGATCGAATTTCGTTGATACCGGGACCCTGGCCCGCCAGTTAGCAGATGGAGAAAGCACAACCGGAGTCAAATAGAGCAAGGTATATCACCGAGGGCGTCTACAAGAGAACTCACATTCAAATCGGGGTGGTAATCTCGGGCAGCCGCCTCCTGCGCGGCAATCTCGGCGTCGATAGCGGCCTGGTCGCCGGTGGCCGTCGCCTGTGGATTTTCGGCCATGGCGGTTAGCGGGTGTGACGGGTATCCGGCGTGGCCGAGCTCTTGCTGCTGTGGCAGAAGTTGCTGGAGCGTGTGATGCGGAGGAAGAGGATGAGCGGTGCTGTTCGAAGTAATGTTTGTATAAGCACTAGGGTGGCCCGGGGTCGCTTGTGCCTTGTACAAGCGTCGCCGCTGGATCTGCTGCTGCAAGTGCTGGTGATGCTTTTGGTGGTGGGCAGCGTGATGACCGTGGTGAGGAGCAAGGTGATTGTTGTTGGGATGATGCTGGCGTCGGAGGTGAAGCTGTCGAGCAACGGGCGATGACGAAAGAGTAGAGGAGGCAGTGGTGGTCGTGGACGCACCAGTGCCAACAGCGGCGGCAGGAGCGCTGGTGCGAGCTGAAGTTGGCGGGGGAGGAGCGGGCGGGAAAAAAGTGGGGACGCCCGAATTAGTGAGCTGACTGCCAGCTGTGGAAGTGACGAAAGCAGTAGGGTCGACGGCGGCGGGCGCTACGGCGGGGATGGCTGTCGTTGTAGCTGTCAGAGGCGCTGTTGGCGTGGGCGCTAGTGCTGGCGGCGGGGCCACAGGGAAATACGCAGTGCCATTAGAAGCGGGCGATGGGGAAGGAGCAGGAGGAGATCCAGCCGTGGGAAAGTGTTGGAGTCCATGCGAAATTTGGCGCCGGTGCTCCTCGTCCTTTATTTGGATATTGGTGTCGAGCGAATTGCCAGCATAGGTGGACAGGCCTGCTTCTGCTCGTGCTGTTCCCAGAGCACTGCCTGGCTGTCCGCGGCGCGCAAATACTGCTCCATGCGAGCCCGCACCACTGCCCCCGTACCCAGGGCCGCCCGGAATGGCAGGAATAGGAGATACGGGGAGCGCAGCCGTGTTGCTGTTGCTTCCGTGGTTGGAGAAGTCGATTAATGCCGCCGCAGACCCTTCGTTCCTTCCCCTATCAGCAGAAGCGTCCCCTCGGGGGCCGGTGCGAATCGCGGATAGCTGCTCATGCGGCAGGCGCTGTTGCTGCTGGCGTTGCTGCTGGCGTTGCTGCTGGCGTTGCTGCTGGCGTTGCTGCTGGTGCTGCTGTTGTTGCTGCTGTTGTTGGTAAACCAACAGGCGTTGGTCAGGAGGGAGCTGCTGCGGCAGCTGCTGAAACTGGGATGGATAGGGCGTCGACTGTTGCGTGAATGGCTGTTGATAATCCAGTCCTTGTTGTTGCTGCTGCTGTTCTTTCTCCTGTTGCTGTCGCAGCAATTGGTCTTGGTATTGGTCCTGCTGTTGTTGGTGTCTCTGTTGTTGCTCTTGCTGTAATTGTTGCTGTTCGAGCTGTTCCCGGTACTGCTGTTGCCGCAGCTGATGATGCTGGTAGCTGGCGTAGTCTGTAAATTCGACCGTGATCTGGCACGGTGCATCCAAAACGGAGACCGGTGCTTGGGAGGGCAGGAACATCTTCTGAGGCGGGGACAATGCGAGAAACGGAAAGAGCGAAGAGGCAGAGAGGAAAGGGAAACGAAAGAGGAAACGAAAAAGTAAGTGTCAAGAAAACAAAAAGGGAAGGGACGAGGTCGGAGAAATTATGAAAAGACGTAGCAACGGGAAAGGTAAACGGCAAAGCAAAAGCAACGAAAACGGAAGGAAGGCACCCCAGAACAGATGTAACGACTGACACCCAGCGAATGACCAACGATGGGAGAATTCACACGCGAAGAACGAGAGAGAATAAGGCAAACAGGTATTAGAAAGGCATTAAAAGGATGTGGGTGCGAAAAAGAAAAACGAGGGCAAGAGTGAGATAGGTTCCAGATCTTATTTGAATCATAATAAGGAATGGCGGACTGGGTGTGGGCTGGCCCGGCTTGCGAAGGCGGCCAGGATGCATGCGAGGTGTGTGGAGAAGCCGTCGGCTGTGACTTCCTTGTAGTGCTGTTTTTGTGTTTTGTTCCTCCTTCCCCAAAAGAACGTCTTGTGCGAGCCCTGTGTGTGTGCTCCTTCTTTCCTCGTTGTTGTTTTGTTTTTGAACAGTGTTTCGAGGAAGGAACGAGCCTGTGTTTCTGGTCAACATGCACCACAGTCGGGCTCAAGTTTTGTGTTTCCTGCCTCTTTGGTCGTTGTGCCGTTCACGATTCGTCGCTCCTTCCGTCTCTGCCAGTCCTCTGTGTTATTTTTTTGACCCCTGTGCGATATATCCCGTGCAACATACATGCCGCTCATAGTCACACTCTCCCCGTTCCCACGTCGTATTGTCTTTATGTCTGTGCTTCGTTTCTCCAACACCTCCGCCATGTCATATTTTTTCTTTTTCGATTGCTATTCTCAACATTGAGCTGCCGTCATTTTTCTGCTCTGCTTGACCTCACTTTGGCTAACACAACATCCCCGAGGCTTACATACTCGCCAAACAAGTACCGTCGTACGTCCCCTGCATCCTTCATTCTGTCTTTTGCCATTTTGTGTTGCTCTTCTGGTGCCATGCACCATTCTCCCCCACCCATGGCCGCATGCGCGTGGCCAAGCTTGTTGCGAGTCACTCCGAAAACGCAGTTGCCTCCACCCTGTCGACAAAACTCCATTCGCGGCCAGTGTGTCAACCGTGCTGTGCCAGGGGTCTGGCCCGGCCTTTTCTATACAAGAGGTGACATGCCAATTGTTATTGCACGCCACAGTCAAAAGGTTTGATTCGAAAAGCAAAAAGAACAGCGATGGCGATGACGGCTTGACTTGGTGGCTAGGTCAAAGCCAAGCAACGAAACGACAGTCCATACCTAGTAGCCACACCAACACTCAGGCTGCCGGGATCATCCTGTCTGTCGTATCAGCCCCATTGAATGGTCCAGATGGGCGATCAGCGTGGCCTTCCGCAGAAAATTAGACTAACAACAGCAACAGACCTCCGGCAGTCCCTGCGAGGGAGAAAATACGATACCACGGAGTATGCCTCTGCAGATCAATACAGCTAGACCGATCAGAGCGAACATTTACGGGTTGCATCTTCTATGCTCTTCGACCACTCTGCTGCTATGCCGTTTTTATTCGCAAAAAAGCTCTGGATTATCGGTGGAGTTCTCATGGACAAGTATCTGCAGGTCACGAAAAATTACCTTGCTGCGCTAAGTTTCCTTCCACAGAGCGCAGCATGCTTGGCGGACCTTTGTTTATTTTCTCCGTTATCCAACACCACGGTGCGTGTCTCAGTGTCGAAGATCGTCGAACGTTGCTTATTATTATGGGGCAACATACGCATGCTTCTGCAGGCCGTGCATGAGAAATGAAAAGGTCGGAAAATTGAGACTAACAGGCGAGAGAACAACGCAGCGCAGCATACTACTTTCAAAAAAAAAGTTGGAACGAGGTTTTGCTGAGCCGACCCTCCTGATTAGCATTTTCCAGATGTCCCCATTGCTAGATCTGGGTGACCCGGTCTGGGACCATTCAGGTCATTCACCATATTCCAGCAGAGAACCGGGAAAGGAGCACTGAGTAAATAGGACGTGGAAGTGTCTCGCACACTCCAGCTGCTCGATGTGGTATTACGAGAACACTTTGAGATAAATTCCCAAATCCGTGCAGCCCATATCCATTCGTCATTCATCCTTTCCCGTTCCATAATCTTGCGCCGTCTCACGACACTGCCGAGAGGGACTAAATTGAACCTTGAGAATACATGACGGCTAGTGGGGCGTTTGTTAGAAAACCAGGTTATTATCTTCGTGGTCCTCTTCTACTTTCAGTCTATTTTTGCGCATTGACTTTCTATGGAGTTACAAGCTCGAGAGAAGGTGAAAATATCAGCTAACAAAATCCAGGTCACAGAAACAGTCAAAGGATCGCCCCAAGGCACAATATTACGGGGCAATAAGATGTCTGTGCCGGCCATGCCTGTTACTTGAAAGAGAGTTGCGCACCCAAATAACGGAGCATAGGGCATATTAGTTCCCAAACTCAACAAATGAATGCGTTCTCCTCTTTTCCTCCTGTTGCTTGAACAAGAAACGAAACCAAGACATGATATGGTGATCCCCCTCACTCGGCGCCACACAGCCGCCTTTCCCCTCTTTTAAAATGTTCATGATCTTCACTTTTGCAGTCTGTGTGGCTTGATTCAGTGACAATGTACCGCGAGCAGAGGGTGGCACTGTGTCTTCCCTCAGTCTCAATCCGTCAACTCACGCACACTTGCGGAGCGGCCCTTTGTTGCAACAGAGCCAGTGCACTTCCACTTCAAAATCGAGACTCAAGAATCAAGCGGTTTTCCAAGAACCAATATCGAGACCAGGGGGTAAGGCGGTTACTAGCCCACTGACGTTCTCAGTAGTGCAACGCGGACGGGGTACTCCGTACGACATATGACATATTGGTACGACACAAACGTTCGGAAAAGAAAGCACAGAAGGTGGTAGGATTCAATTCCCTGTGCTGGTCTTTCTTTCTCCGGATTCTGGACTGGTTTTGCTTCAGGGACTTCTCCAGATCCAATTAAAAACGAAGGAAGCAAAGATCCTGGTCCTGATTCCCCTTCACGAGGCTAGCTACTAGCTGTTTTCGGGGGCGTTGCCCAAATTTGGGCTATCAGTCTGCCCATTTTCTTCAAGTTCTGGTGATGTTTTCCTGGTCTTTACCCTTTTCATCCTTGCAGGTGGTAGCGCAATGGGCGGTCCGTGTGGCAGACGAGGACCGTCGGCGCACTTTGCCACGCCTAACACCCGGAACTGGTGGCAGAAGCCCAAACATGAGGCGGAAGAAAGCAGACTACGAAAGGAAAAGTGAGTCTAACATCACCCTGATCGTTTCGTTCCTTGTCCTTTTTTTTTGTAGCGTCCGAAGTTACCTTATATATGCTAAATACATAGTTTGGCAGCTTGTTTGTGTGGTTCCGCGCCAGTACGTCCGTACGAACAGACTAATTCATACGGGTGTCGGGCGGCTGCCGATCAACCAAAAAGGACCATTCCCGCACGGCCAGATCAGACGGCGAACCAGACCATAGACCATTGCGAACGGATAAATTTTCCTCTTACACGAGCAATTAGAAACCACAGCGATGAGGAAGGGAAGGAGAGCTAAGGAAAGAAAGTCTCTTATCACCACCGATGTGGCAAAGGACATGTCTGCACCGTATTTGCTTGGGAAACAAAATCGACCTCGAGGAGCCCAAAATGAAAGGCAAAAACTGACACGGCATAAAAGTCGTTACGCCGTGCTTCCCGAATCACCTCCTGTCCCCAAAGAGGCCAACAACAGCTAACTCCAAACGAACCTTTATTACGCAGCAATACGACGTTTGGCAGAGCACAAAACTACGGCGTAATTGCTGCCGACACATTTGGTGCCATCCATCATGCCAAGCCGAAGAATCCAGAACGGTCCCCTCTTCTCCGCTTCCTTTATAAATGCGCCTCGTTTTCCCTAAATGGCGCAATAGTCCAACAGGGCACGAATTGATTACTACAATCAGGAAGCCAGCCAGCGTGCGACATGACCCAGCGTTCCAAAGTCGTCTACAATGCTCCGATGCTGAATTGGCGCATGAAATAGTCACACATCCGTCTCACCCGTATCTGTCGGGCAGCCCGAGAGGAGAACGAGGGCAATGATCGACCCCTGGGCGAACTGCTCCGTAGCGGCCTGCGTTCGCTGCACAGCAAGGGGAAGTGACACACGCATGGGACACTTTATCACTGCGTCTCAACAACTGGTCCAGGATCGTAGTGTCCTTGAGTATGTGGCCATGCCATTCTACAACCTCTTCCAACCCCTCACAACATAGGCCACCGGCATGCACAACGGAAAAGGCAAATCCATATAGGATGATTTAGTCTTTCCTCATTTCCCTTAATTGATTTTTTGTCAAAAAAAAAAAAGATTTACATCAACTCCGTTTCAGCGATCAGTCATTGGGCTATCCGCTACACTGCGGCGGGAAGAAACGATCACCCAGCGGGAAAGGGCGGGAGGAGCGAACAGACGTGCAAGCGAGTAAGAAAGAAACAAATTGCAAAATATGGCAAGAGAACAGAGCGGGATGCGGCCCAGGCCATGGTCTATGTAGGACAAGAAAAACACAAAGAAAGCCGGTCATGTGTGCGCCTCGGTGCACGCTTCAAATGACAGATCACATCTCGTTATAAGATGGAGCAGACAAGGCAGAGAATAAACGAATAAAAAAGAAGTAAAACGAGCGAGAGGATGACACCATAGAGGTGGAACGACTTACGGCAGTCGATCTCATCGTCATAGTCTGTCCTGCGTACGCGGAAGGACACGAGATATATTTAGACGTTCGACGTTAGACGTTCGACAGAGGTAGTTTCACATGTGTCGGTCACGTCGCACAGCAATTGGGAGGTGAGACAGACTGTGCACGACGTGACTTAACCACGACCAGAAGAGGTAGTTGACAGGATATACGAGACGGCCTTTGGCGATAGATGGCTCGTGTCCCTCGCCTCTTTCCCTTGTGTATATAACAGGTCACAGAGCACAAGCCATACACACACATATATACAACACCCATAAATGAAAGATGGCTACTCGTTCTCGAAAATACGGTGTGCCTAACTTGCGGTGTAATGCAGAGTCATTTCGAGTTTTTCATACATACAAATATGACAAGAAAGCTTCTTCCGTCTTTGTGACAGGCCGAAACAAGCACAACCGGAGCCGGACTTGCAGCGAGTGTCGAAGCAGGTTGCAGTGCCTCTAATGCCCATAGGAGAGTTGGGGATTGTTGGAGAAAACAAATAGCAAAACACAATATATATGAACAGGAAGAAGAAAAAGAAACGAAACGAAAATGATACGTCACATTTTCAAGCGGACACCATGTGGGCAGCCGGCAATCAAAAAAGCGGAGGCGGAGACTCGACATACAGTCTCATTTTTCTTGCAAAATGGTCTTTTGGCCGCCAGTCTCGCAAAACATACGACGTCTTACTCTCGTATTTTGCACGATTGGGTTTCTGGTCCACCCAACGTCCGGCCACGACGAAGCCAACGTAGTATCCTAAGGCAAACACGGAGCCATCCGGGCCTTGCCTGATCAGGCTCGGTACAAGGTTGGAAGAATACACGAGGGTGGTGCGAATCAAGGGCATGGAACACATCATGGGGAACAAGGAGAAAGGGGTTGTGACAAAAAAACAAAACAGGGAACGTGGAGGCTGCAGGAACTGGAACTGTGAGGCTGTCATCTTTCGGCGTGTCTTAGCGTCGTCTATTTTTTTGGCTTTTTCAGCTGTGCTTCACCGGTGTGCGTTCGGTGTAAGCCAGCCAATCCACAAGTTCGACGTACGCAGGGGCAACAGGATCAGACTCCCACGCCCGAACAAGGATGTGCCGATCATGTCTTTCTTTTTCTTTCTTTTCGGTGGGGATTTTGCAATTCTCCCCCTTTGAGTTGGTCCTCGAACAGAGAACGAATGCGACGTAATTGTCCTACACGAGGCTCACA